TGAGCAAAGGAGTCCAATGAGATTAATTTCTCTGCTGCTGAAAATCTGTTGCATGAGTTTTGGGTTTCCCTTTGTCCTTTTCCCCCTTGGCTTCTTGTATGAAAATGACAGCCCCACATTTGCTTGACACTGTAGAAACTACGGAGTCAAGAAAACAGAAGGCTTCCGTTTGTTTTTCATAGGAGCGCTAATGGCCTCTTCTCAGATTTGTGTCCGCCTCTGGGTAAATGGCCAGTGCCTTTTGCCACGAAATTAAAACCATTTGAAGCACATGGGTATTATAAGTGTGTGACTATTATCGAAATGCATCTTTAAATTTCATAAGCTCATAATTTTGGATACGTTAATTCAGGGTACATATTATTTTAGGTTTGTGGAGTTTTTCAAAGGGTATTCAAGCTTAAGGAAGGCAATTGAAAAAGATCCGACTGTATTGAGAAATAAAAACAAAATCCTAAGCCCCCCAACTGACCAAATGGACCTCCTCTTGGCCAAAGAGACCCCCAGAGAACCTTAAAAGCTGAGTTCCCGGCCATAGCACGGATGGGAGGTCAGACACACCTCAAGATAGCCCCTCCCTCACTAACAGCCATTAGAGTTTATTTTTTAAGAGTTAAACAGAAACCAGCCCTTTTGAAAGATTTGCTCCACTGCTGATTTCAACCAATCACCTGATGTTACCGCCTTTTGCAGTGTAGACACAACAACTGACCAGCATGAATGCTAAATAGAGATAATCAGACTGATGACAGGACGCCAAATTGTAAGTAAGACCGGAGGCCGTGGCAGGCAAGGGTTAAATCAGGTACCTCTGTGCTTTGGAAATAAAGGATGCTGTCACTGCCACGAGGTTTTATCTTTTTTCTAATAGCTAAACAAACACTGGCCTCAAGATAAGCAATATTAAAACAACGGCAGCTCCACCAGATGCTGACTAACTGACTCCTGTTCCGCAAGCCATAACTACAGCTTCGAGTGAACAAGAGACTGATTTCAGTAACCTTTCCCTGATGGGAGACCACCGTCCCTCTGGGGACTGGTTCTGGCTGGTCCATGGGGACTGTGCACTGAGTGCCTTGGACTCCCAGCTGCGCCTTTTGACATATAGGGCCAACTGTAAAACATTTAAATGTGAAGTCTTCACTCCCAGGTGAACGTGTGTGTGTTGACATATGTAACAAAGATGTTTGCTTACTACACATGCACACAGGCCCTCTTCATGAATCTTCCTAGCTCCTCTTATAACCTGCTAAATCTGTACACTTAGCCAACTCCTTCAGCATAGTTTCCTGTCTTACTGTTCCTTCTTCAAAATACCTGTTTCTGGTTTAACAGGTTGTTAAAACCTATAGGTTGTAATCGTTTATAAAAAATAAAACTCCTCTTTTCTAAATGTATAGATCTCATGATTTTAAGTCAATAGCATCAATGGCAAAATGTGTTACCTGTCCACCAACTCCCCATTTCCATTGGTTTCAAAGTTTCTGGACAATTTCTATAATTAAGAAGAAGCTCTGTGGCTGGGTGCAGTGGCTCACGCCTATTATCCTACCACTTTGGGAGGCCAAAGCAGGCAAATCACTTCAGCCCAGGAGTTTGAGATCCGCCTGGCCAACATGGTGAAACCCCATCTCTACCAAAAATACAACAACAACAACAACAACAGTAGCTGAACGTGGTGGTGGTGCATGCCTGTAATCCCAGCTACTGGGGAGGTTGAGGCCAGAGAATCCCTTGTACCCAGGAGGTGGATGTTGCAGTGAGCTGAGATCACACCATTGCACTCCATCCTGGGCAACACAGTGACACTCCGTCTCAAGAAGAAGAAGAAGAAGAAGGAGGAGGAGGAGGAGGAGGAGGCAGAAGCTCCATGACACATTACCCCACCCGAGACTCCCCAGACCCTGGTCCGCGGAATCGCCTCTCAGCGACCTGTGTGCCGTTCTGCAGCTCCTTTCCAGCCTCCGTCTTCCATCCTTCCCCTGCCTCCTACCTTTCCTCTCATTCTCTCTCTTTTTAAGACCCGATTTACCTGTTGCTTACTTCTCTTGGAATTATTTTTGCTGCTTATGAAGATTGGTTGTTATGTTCTAGTAGCAATGACAGATATCCAAGCCATTTCTTCCTTGGAGAATTTCTCTGCTTTTAAAACAGGCCCCTGGATATTTGATAAAAGCAGCTGTAGAAGCTGTGAAGAGTGGCTGACACCTTTGTTTCTAATGATATTTTAAAGATGTTCCCATTGGGAAACATGGAACTGTGTTTGAGAGGAAAAAACCCAAAAGCTTATAAACAATGACATTAATGATGATGGAGGCTTTCTTCATAATTAAATAAGCAGTCCTAATTTTATAAAATACAATTGTCAGGAGTTTAGATTTTTAATCTCCTGTGTATTTTGAAGCATGGCTAAAATACAATAAATCTGAATTGATTTCTTCCAAACAAGCAAAGCCTACAAAAATCCATGGAAAAAAATTTACCTTTAAAAATAAATATGCAAACTTCCCCACAAATTCACTATTTCCCAGCAGAAAAAGAACCAGCCTTTGAGAGAAAGGACCCTCCTTGGTCTCCAGGAATGACACTAAGAGGGAGCAGATCATTCCTATTCAGAAAACGTGAGGTGAGCCTTGACATTCCCTTTCCTTCTTGGAGCAGAGGCCGGCTAGTGGAGGTCAGAAGACTGAGGTCCTAGAATGGGGAATTCAGGCCATGGAGAAAAGGAAGCAAAAATCGTATGACTTGATGTTAAATGTTTTCATGGCTGCGGCAAATAAACCCGTAAGTTCACCCTACAGCACCTTTCTCCACACTGCTCGTGTGGTTTTTTCTTCAAACCAGACTGATGAGCTATTTATTTTATTAATTTGTTAAATATAGATGGATGCTGGGCAGACAGCAATGAATAAGACAAAGCGCAGCCTGCTGCCTCGATGGGGTTTATCTGCCACTGGTAGAGACGTCCAACTCGCAACTAAATAACAACCAATGATTTCATCTCATTTGCCACCAGCGACCCGCAGGAGAGGCTGCAAAGCCTGGAATGAGTGGGCTTGACCCCAGGTTGAGGCTCGGGAAAGAAGGCTTCCTTGAGGAAGTCATGTTTGAACATTCGAAGGATACAGGCAGGTGCACACGAGGTGGGGAAGGGTGTTTCTGGCAGATGGCATAGCATGTAAAGGTCCCCAGGCAGAAAGGGCAGAATGAGGAAAGACAAGGCAGACAGACAGTGTGGGTGTAACCGGGGGAAAGGAGAGCAGTTCATGGAGCCAGCCTGCAGGGGAGGGCACTTATGGGCGCCACGTTGCCTCATGGCGGCAATATTTTGGCACCTTCCTCCAGCCACAGCAACTCCTCAAATGTTACTACTGGCTGAGTAGAGCAATTTTGTCTTCAAGGTCTTGAAATGCCTCGGAACGGAATCATGTGGCCTGAGAGCATAGGACCCTCCTCCCCTGAGCAGCAGTCCCAGCCTGCTCACCTCTTCCCCTGGCCACTGCTCATATGTTCCCTGCAGTCTGAGGTACTTCTCGAAGAGACGATGGCAACCAGCGAGGAGCTGAGGAGTGTCTTCTTCATCCCTGACATCTGTTCCTGATACACCATCTGCCCTAGACAACAAGCCCACGTCTTTCTTCTTGTTCTTCCTTCTCCACTTCTTGTTTGGACTCTGGGAGTGGAGGAAGTCATTATGCCTCACGCTCGGGGAGCCTGCAAACATTCTGCAGAAGAAAAGGGGCTTGGGGAATTACTCTCTGGGTTCCTATCTTCCCTTCTTGACATTATTTGCTTGGGGGCTCAGCTTTCCAGCTGGCTGGAGCAATTCAGAGAGGTCTGTCCTTCCCAACAAATGGAGGGGAGGGGTTCAAGGTTACTCTGTCCTACACAGGTGGACGTTGGCCCAGCAGGCTGCAAATGCAGATGAGATTTTACACAGACTCTAAGAATCACCATGACATTATCTAACATTTAAAAAAAAAATCCTACAAGCAAATTGGACAGAGGACTGAAGCAGGGAGAGATGCTGGGAAAACCTGTTTTCTTCTCAAAGCACTATCAGTGACATGCCATATGGTTTTTGCCAAACCATTTGGCTGCTTTAAGATTTTCTATTCCCAAATGTAAAATTGAGCTAATAGAATTTGCCACCCTACCGGGATATCACAAGCACTAATCAGAATGTCTATAAATGCCTTTGAACTCCTTTGGAAAAACACGCAACCAAAATACCAAGTGGGATTTACATAAATGTCATGCTAACCCCAGATCTTCATCTCGACAGTGGGAATTTAGGGCTTACGTGGATGCATTTATTACAGTTCTCACCGAAATTACACATGACTGGATGCCTTGAGCTTTAATTTTTTTTTTTTTCACAAGACTGTGCAACCTGCCAGGTTGAAACTCAGAAATTTTTCAAATGTGAAGTCCGTTACAAAGAACAGTGTGCACTGAAGAAGTCTTCTGTGACTATTTGGGTCTATCCCATATGCCATGGCCATTGAGGTCCTGTCAGGATTTTTGGTTTCCTTGAACTGAAAATAAGACAACCTGATCTTTTATCCTCAAATCTTTGGGGTGTGCTACGGTGCATTACCTTAATACTCATGCATTCTCTGTCCTTTCTGTTGGGAGAATTGAGAAAAATATTTCTATCGACATATCTACAAAGGTTCATCCTTTAGAAAGCCCCGTGACTGTTTATTTGACTCTTGGATAATTATACTTAAATCCATGTGTTTACTTCGGAGATCTCCAAAAAGAGTAGAAAAGATCTAGCAACCCCAAATTAGTTTAGGAACCAGCATGTCCCTTGCTTTAAGGAACACAGTAAACATTTCAAAAGAGCATGCCAGCTCATTATCTAACTCTCTCTTCAGTGACTTCAGGGAAAACAGCAGCAGTTAAGCAATGTTTGCCAAAAGCAAATCTGGGGACGGGTGTTGATTTTAAAAGAGAAGGAAAGAAGAGCTAGTTGCTCACTGCAGGTTCTCCTGGCTCGGCGGTGCAGAGGCAAAGGCCTGTTTCTGCAAAGACTTTGAGGACCCATGACTCTTCCTCAACCTCCAGACCGCTGGAGGTCCCTGATAGTTGAATAAGCTAAGTGCAGTGTGCCCGCCTAGTTCTTTCCTGGAAGATGAAACGCAGCTCCCGAGTCGGGAGACGGAAGAATGGATAAACATTCCTCAATTGCTGTTGATAGGTTCTCACCCCAGAACCCGGGCAGTCGGCCTCATGCTCCAGAGTGCAGGTCCCGTAAGGCGTGAGTATGGGGGTGTTTTCCACCATGACACCATGTGCATCCCCACACGGCCCCCAAACGTAATTAACATGTCCTGTGGCTGTTGGAGATTCTGGCTTGTTTAGAGAACTGGCTACCTGGCACTCCATGCTCGACTGCAAAGAAATGCTCTTTTGTGATAACACGTCTGGACATCCAGTGCAAGAAACTGAGCGTTAGCCCCCCTGACCCTCCCACCGCCCAGAAAGACTCCAACTGAAAGGTTGCACAATGGCTGATCAAAGTCTACCACATTTCTTTCCAGGGCTACGATTTTGTTCTGTCTCCACTCTGGGGAGTTGGAAGGCTGGAGCACGGACCAGCCATCCCTCCCCCTACCTCCTGGTGATGTTTGGAAATCTTAATTTTGTTTTATAGGTCACAGGTCAGCCCATCCATGCGGATCCTTGTAATTGGACAGGACGTGCTTTGTGTGGTCTGATTACATCTTTTCTTTCAGACCCAAGGGGAGCCGTCAATTAGAGCCGTGCTTGAGCCTAAGGCTGACCTGAACCGTTTGAAGGCAGATCTTCCATGGAGCGCCCCGGTACTACTTCATTTCCAGGAATCTTAATTACAAGGCATTACTCTGATGGATTGAATGTATTAAGTAGCCTCAATTCACCCCAGTTTGCAGCCCTTTGGGAGGCGGCTCCCGTCCCATCATTTTCTGCCCCCCTTTGCTGCCCCAGTGCCATGGCACCCGGAGGGCTTTGTTCCAAACCAACTTTGAGTCGTGAGTATTATCTGAAGCCCCTCCCTTGCCTGGAGGCCTTTCAGAAACTACTTTATCTCTTGCAGGTCCTTTTCTGGAAAGGTCAAAGGGACGAGAGGGGGTCTCTGCAGTGTCCTGGATCTGGTTTCAACCTCACCTTCTCCATGTATGAGAAAACAAGTCACTTGGATTCACTGTGCCTCGGTTTCCCCAGATGGCGAGCAGGACTCAGTCTTTTGGTGAGAATTAGATAAGACTTAGAATGAGATGAGAATTACATGTGAGTGCACAGTTGGGATGTGGTGCGTATCTCACGGTGGGGCTGTGACTGCCACGCAGACCTGAGATTGCCTCGGAAGAAATGCCGCTGGCTGGTTCGTGGGCCATCTCGGCAGGATGTGTGCCAGGAGCAGGTGCTCCTGACCTTCCTCTGTGGCTCTTGCTAAGTCCTCAGTGATACAGAATGCTAGCCAGGCCCCTGGGGGAAGGGACACAGGGCCCCTCTGAAATTTCAAAGCTGGTGTGCACAGCAAGTTCCAGGAGAAGGTGGGCACATTTGCATAGTCACCAAGGAGCCTCTTTGTTGGAAGCGAATCAAGACAGGACCCTCCTCCTTTTTGCAATTTAATAATGAACAGCCGGGCATGGTGCTGACTTGGGGCTGCTGGCAGGGACAGGCACCAGCGTTGCCAATGGAGAGCTAGCTCGCTATGACAGAAATTCAGGGGCAGTGCCGGGGGCTGAGCGGGGGTGCCAGCAGTGTGTGCTGGATGGGAAGGGGGGCTGGGAGGCCTTGCTAGCAGTGGCTACCGATGTGTGAGCAAACCAAAGGAGTTGTCACCCTGGAGCCTGCTCAATAGAGCACCCTGTGATCACCCTGCTAGGACATCCTTGTGGCTATGGACAAGTGCCCACTGGGCGACACAGGCACCTTATCAGAGCCCCTCCCCAACCCCACGCAGTGAGTGCAGTCGGATTCACTCTTTACCAAACAGCAGCTTAGCATCCACTTTTCTCCCTTTTTCTTCTGCGTCGCCTGAGGGCTTAAGTGTGACTAGTTGCAGATGTAGCACTTGTGGCCGTGTGAGGCCACACGTGGCTGATGTGGAAGGGGCACTGCAGGTGATGGAGGCAAGGCATTGAGGAAGCAGCTGCATGCCCTCTGGCCTCGCCAGTATAGTTTACCAGGTGCCGTCTCACACTCTAAGCTGGCCAAGCCATCCTTGGGGATGGCCCTGGAGCAGCACCTGCCTACCTGCCTGCTGCAGAGGTGACAGCATTTCATATGGCAAAAGATTCCCAGGGGCCAAATGGAGAGGTCATCAGAACCTTGTGGTGAGAACCAGGTCCCGATTTGGCTTTCTGGAGATGAATGGCTAACATGATCCACCTATGACCACAGACTGTTCCCTGAAATAAGTCACAATTTTGAAAGAATGAGTGAGCTTTCTCCTGGGATTTGATTTGGTTAGAGGATAAGAAGCACACTGCTTTGGCCATACTGTGGGTCTCTAACATGGTCTCCAACCTTTTGTTTCATTTTCTCCCCTCCCTCTTCCCCTTGTCCCCCTCTTTTACTTTCCTTCCTTTGAATAGCACCTGGTCCATCAGAGGACAAGCTTTCATGTGTTAGCCATCACCTCCGTCATCACCATCATTGTCATCATCATCGTCCTCATCACCTCGACACACTGAGCTTTGTAGCTTAAAAACAAAATGCCTTTAACAATGTGTAAGATGCCACCTTTAGGATCAAATGGGAGTTTGGGATTATTTCTATTTTCTAATCGTTCAGCCCCCTCCCACTAAGTGTGAAGCATAGAGTCATTAAGTTGAAATGGATTTTGTTCACCACATGGGCCCTCAAATCCTTTCTGGAACAAGAGTGGATGTAAAAATAAATCAAATAAATACATTTTCAGCGTGTGCAGCCCAACCCAGAGCTCCTTACAGATAACTTCTTCCTTTAAAGCACGTGGAGCCCAGCCAGCGCCACTGGGAAAGTGGCAAAGAGAAAAGCCGGCTCTGGCCCCGGGCTGCATCAGAGCAGTCGATTGAGCTCTTCGATTCCCAGCACTTCAACACTGCTTGCCTCTTAAGGATTTTCTGAAGGTCATTGATGCTGACAGGGAGTGTGGAAAAAGGATGTTTATACCTGGGGCTGGGAGACGCCCTCTCTCAGGCTGGGAGAGACTGGCAGAGCTGCCTGATAATGAGAACAGTGCCATCCACGCCGTTCTGAGCACATGGTAAGCCTCAGGCACATGGCACACGTGAGAGGCGCTTCTGTGTCTCCTGGGTTGTTTATGACAATCATGACAGGTAGCTGCCACCTTCCCATTTCGCAGTGAAGGAAGCGTGGTGTGGGCAGATGCAATTGCAGTTTGTATCCAAGGTAGGAAAGTGGCTGAGTTGCAGACTGGACTTCTGTCCATATTATTATGGGTTGAACCGTGCTCCTCCCGCCAGATTTATATGTCAAGGTCCTTCCTCCCAGGACCTTGGAATGTCACTTTACTTAGAAGTAAGGTAGTTGCAGAGGTAATTAGTTACGATAAAGTCATGCTGGAATGGGGTGGCCCTCGTCTAATAGGACAGGTCCTTATCAAAAGGGGAAATTTGGAGACAGACCCACACCCAGGGCAGATGCCACCTGAAGATGGAGGCAGAGGTCAGTGTGGTGCTTCTACAAGCCAAGGAAGGGCAAAGATGACCAGCGAGTTAGGAGAAGCCGGGAGAGGCCAGGGACAGATCCTCCCTCACAGTCTTAGAAGGAAGCAGTTCTGCTGACACTGCGATCTGGGCCTTGCAGCCTCCGGAACTGTGAGCGAGTACATTTCAGATGTGTAAGGCACATGGTCTGTGGTGCTTTGTGAATTACTGCCTCCCTGGGAGACTGACACAGACATCAAACCAAACCTGTCCCCTTTCCACTATGTTTCCTTGAGCTTTAACGGAGCAACGAGAAGACTTTGGAGGCCACCTTGAGTCCTCTACAGGGCAAGGATGGGAAAGAAGCAGGCCTGGGGCTCAGGGTTCCAGGGCACTGGGAGTAGACTCTTGGGTGCCTGCTGGTGGCTATTTCCTCCTCCTCTCTGTTGAGGCACTTTTCCCATTTCTGCACTTGCACTCGGGCTGAGACTCCTCAAGAGGGGACTCCCTTGTGCCGCCGCCATCTGTGGCCATGGGAGGGATCAGGGTGGCTCAGCGGCCATGCAGAGGGTGTACAGTGCTGGAGAAGTCATGGAGGTGAGCCCCACTTGTGAGGCTTCTGAAAATGTTCACTTTTGGATAATGAGTTTTTGTTTTGTTTTGTTTTGTTTTTTTCAGGAAACTGATCTCTTACTAGAACCAAGTCAACAAGAGCTACCCTTGGACTCTAGATGCCTGGGAGGGTCTGGAGTCGTCAGGCAGAAGGAGAAGGTGGAGCGGGTCTTCCCGGAGGCCGGCTCCCACAGGGGCGGCCAAGGCTCTGGGCCTCTCGGCGTGCCTCTGTGGATCCTGTTGGATCCAGAACCGTCTGGATCACCTGAAGAGTTATTTGAAACCAGCTGATTTTCCAAGGGGGCAGTTAACATGGGTGGGGATATCACAGGCAGGTGCACTGGCTTCAGAATTAGAGGCCAAAAGTGTGGACTAACTCAGTTCTGCTCTCCAGCAAAACCCTTCGCAGCTCAGGCTAACCTGTCTGTGAGTGGAGGTGGGCAGCTCCTGTCTCACAGTCCTGGTGGGGGTGAGGTGGAAGGCCCCGGGGGGGCACCCTACAGTGAATTCTGTAGCTCCCTCCCCTTTATCTCCCATGTCGTTTACAGTGTAGCTGGGGGTCAGCACGCGGTCCCTACTTTATATGCTTTGTTCGGTGATTTCGATATTTAAGCCTCTGTCAATTCAATCCAAACTTCGCTACAGAAAGGGCAAGATGCCAGGAAATGCTGATAGTGGCTAAGCATTGTTCTTCATCTTGAACAGTGGTTCTAAGTTGACTCTGTGGTGTATTTCTAGTGGCAATACTAGATATTTTCCTTCATGGCAAAAATGAGAATCTTTATTAAAACAACTACATATTATTATTTAACATCCTGATTCCAAAGTGACAGCAGTATGGCACGGCTTATTAAGAAAGTTTATATCTAGGTGCTTTGACAGTTTACTAAATCTTTTTTTAAAAAGTTATTTATTTATTTATTTTTGAGAGATGGGATCTTGCTATATTGCCCAGGCTGGTCTCAAACTCCTGGCTCAAGCAATCCCCCTGCTTTGGCCTCCCAAAATGCTGGGATTGGCCGGGTGCGGTGGCTCAAGCCTGTAATCCCAGCACTTTGGGAGGCCGAGACGGGCAGATCACGAGGTGAGGAGATCGAGACCATCCCGGCTAACACGGTGAAACCCCGTCTCTACTAAAAATACAAAAAATTAGCCGGGCGAGGTGGCGGGTGCCTGTAGTCCCAGCTACTCGGGAGGCCGAGGCAGGAGAATGGCGTAAACCCGGAGGTGGAGCTTGCAGTGAGCTGAGATCCGGCCACTGCACCCCAGCCTGGGCGACAGAGCCAGACTCCGTCTAAAAAAAAAAAAAAAAAATGCTAGGATTACAAATGTGAGCCATTACACCCAGTCTAGTTTACTAATTTTTTATGATGAAAGGCTTTATAGCCCTAGTCTCATCTCACTCTTTAATGCCTGCTTTCCACCTCCGAAGCTAGAATGCTCCTGACGCATACGTGTGGGTCTAGGGTGGTGAGTGGGCGTTTTCTCTCTCTCTGATCTCTGCTAATAATGTTGAAGGATACAGGCCTAGTTTTTCAGCATCCCTATTCTGAGCTAGGGAGGAAGGAACGAGAAAGAGAAGCGGGGAGTGGAGAGAGAGAGAAAGAGTGTGAGAGAGAGAGTGGGAGAGGAGGCAGGCAAAACTGTCTATGGGCCATTTGCGTGCCTTTGAGAATGTTAATCCCTGTGGCTTCCCCCAGAGAGAATGAGCAATTTTCCACTCTCATGAAGAAAAAAGACAATTTCCTTGCTCCCAATAGGAGTTCGCAGGGACCCTGTGCTGCTCTGGAAATTGCACGAAATGTCAATACTATAGACGGACATACACATCAAGCTCTTCTTAGCCTGGCTCCTTAACAACCACTCTGGTGTCCACAGCCTGCCTTAGCGACACACTGCATTAGCGGTGCAGTCCAAGATGACAGGTTTTAAAAAGAGCTGTGTCCTCCTGGTGCGGACAATCTCATGGTGAGAATGTGTTAGGCAGGAAGCGATGTGGGTCTTCAAGCCGAATTCCCGTGACTCTGAGCTGAGACTTACCACGTGGACCCTGAATTACTTGGAACCTTGTACTTTTAGTGTTGGAGGGTGCAATGGGGTGGGGGCCCTCTCTTCTAGCAAGATTTTAAGTTCATGAGAGGCATGTCCTGCCCCGTGCCTCATTGCCAGCATCCTGTGTAACCCTCCAGAACCTGAAACTTACCATACCTGTGTGGGGAGGACCTGCCAGAGGGCGTGGCTTTGACACTTGTTTATGGGGGCAGGCAGGTGTGTTGCAACCCTGTTTGCAAAAATGGGGCTGATTTTATTCTTACTGTGAAGGCCTTTAGCTGTTTTCTTCCAGAGAAGTACTACCTTTCCTGTTCTGTCTCTTTTCTGAACGTTTCTTTGAAATATACTACATAGGCAGAAAAGTGCATAGGAGTGTACAGCCTGATGCCTTTTCATTGACAGAACACATCTGTGTAACTGGCATCCAGACCAAGAGACAGAACATCCCATAACCTCTGAAACTGCCCCACTCCCCTCTTACAGCTCCTGCTCCCCGCCAGGGTAAATCACTAGCCCGCCCTCCAATGACACAGAGCAGTTTTGCCTGTTCTTGTACTTTACGTAAACGGAGCTACACAGTATGTGCCTTCTTAGCGCCTGTTTCTTTTGTTGCAACATTTAGTCACTTAGTCAGATTTAGCCACAGTCTTGCCTCTGGTTTTAAATCCTTCATTCTGGCTGTTATAGGGTAATCCACTGCATGAATGTACTACGGTTTATCTGCTCTACTGATGAGGGGCACGTAGTTAGCTTCCAGTTTGGGGCTATTACAAACAGTGCCGCTGGGAACATTGTAGTTGACACTTTTTGTTGCACGTCTGTGAGCGTGTCTACTGGAGGGCATACCTGGGAGTGACATGCTAAGGCCAAGGCCTCATTAATCTTTAACAGACAGATCCAACCAAGGCTGTGCCAGTTTGCAGCGGCCAGGAAGGAAAGTCCTGCTTGGGTACATCTTGGCCATACATTTTGGTCCACACTTGGTATTTTTCTTGTGCACATTTTTGTTGTTGGCCTTTTCTTTTTCCTCCCCTCTCCTCCAGAAATACAGCCATTTGGATTGACAAAGATGCAACAGCAATTCAATGGGGAAACAGTAGTCGGTTCAACCAGTGATGCTGGAACAACTGGACATCCATATGTAAAAAAATGAACCTGGGCTGGGTGCGGTGGCTCACGCCTGTAATCCCAGCACTATGGGAGACTGACACGGGCGGATCACAAGGTCAAGAGATCAAGACCATCCTGGCCAACATGGTGAAACCCCATCTCTACTAAAAATACAAAATTTAGCTGGGTGTGGTGGTGCACGCCTGTAGTCCCAACTACTGGGAGGCTGAGGCAGGAGAATCACTTGAACCTGGGAGTGGGAGGTAGCAGTGAGCCAAGATCTCACCACTATACTCCAGCCTGGTGACAGAATGAGACTGCGTCTCAAAAAAAAAAAAAAAAAAAAAAAGAACCTGAACTTGAACTTCACTCCTCATATACTAAGAGTACGTGTATGAGTTCTTTTCAAACACCTATGGAATATTTACAAAAATCCTGTTAGGAATAAAATCTCAGTAAAGTCCCCAAGGTGGAATTCACTAGGCTAATTTTTCTGACTTCAACGGAAGACAATTAGAAATGAATATCCAAAGAACGGCTCTAAGAGGCAGGGGGTTTTTGTTGTTGCTATTTGTGGCTGTAGCCCCAAAGCCTAGAATAGTGTCTGGCATCAATTTTTGAATTAGTGAAAAACGTAATGAGGCATACTGATTAGAAAGCATCCCATAAAAATTAGCAGAGGAGCTAAAGTAATGATATGTATTGTTCGTTGAATGTCTAGAGGTGCCTTTTCCAGGCTCTAACATCCTCATGGAGAATCCAAGCCCGTTCCTTCTGCAATGTATTCTCATTGCCTTGGCCTCACGGTCCCAAGATGACGATGATGGCTGTAATAGTATTAATAACTATTATTATTGTTATAATGATAATGAAACTTCGTATAACTTGCTTTGTGCCAATTGTTGTTCTAAGCCCTTGATGTATTGTCATACAGTCCATGCTCACATCTGTCCATGAGGTATGTGTTATTTTTCCTCATTTACAGATGGGAAAATAGAGGCATAGAGTGATTCAGTAACTTGTCCAAAGTCATACAGCTAATAGTTAGTATAGCCAGGAGCTAAGCTCAGGCATAGCCCATAGTCTGTGCTTACTTTCTAAGTTTTATTGTAACTCCAGGTGTTGTATTTTCACAGCCAAAGTAGGAAGAAAGAGGCCACACGAGGCTATGTAGCCACACCAATCTCAAGGGAGGCCAGGAAATTGAGTATCTGACAAAAAAGAGCAGGAGTTCCACCTTAGATGAAGCAGGAGCCGAGCCTGAGAGCAGGACGCACTGCCATGGGGAAAAGAGGGCCTGGTCCCTACAGCAGGAAGGAGTCAGGGATCACAGATGGCATTGACAAACGATATCTCTGCCTTATTAAAAAACTATCTACCTACAAGTTAAAAAAAAATTCTAGATAACTTGGGTTAAAAAGAAAATGAAAAACTATTTAGAAATAATTGGGAATAGATTAACTAAAATTCAGAAGAGGAGAAAAGATCTAAAGAAGGGGAAAAATCTAAAGAGAAGGATAACCCATAGAAAAAAATGGAAGGAGTAATCAGAGAGGACTACAGGCCCACACTGCTGTGCAGGCATATTCTGCATTTCTAAGAAATAATGACATTCATATTAACATTATACTTACAAGAACTATTCCACAGAATATAAAAAGATGATCTCCAACTCATTCAATAAAGCTAGTATTACCCTGACACCAAATCCAGACATAACTAGTGCAGAAAATATATAGGCCACCCCGCTTGTGCAAATGACTCAAAAAAATTCCAACTAAAACATGAACAAATACAAGAATGCGATGTACTAGAAGATCACATTTTTCCTAAGAATGAAAAGATGGTTCGAGGTTAGGGGACCTATCAGTGTAATTTCCGGCAATAACAGTTAAAAGAGACCGACGATGTGACCATCTCAACAAACGTAGCAGATAGTGCATTGCTGCTCCATCTTCCACCTGACCTTCTGAGGTCTTCTTGCAGGGATTAGAAGTCTGGAAGCTCCGTTTCCCAGGCTCTCTGGCAATGGTTCCAGTTTAGTTTCTATGACTGAGAGGTACTCATTAGTTTGGCAAAAGTGGAAGAAGGCTGGACTGGAGATGTGAGCGCTGTTGAACAGGCCACAGACTGCCTGAGCCTGGTTCCACACCAATCACATGAGACTATTGTAGGAATCCTCCTCCTGGAGCTATACAATGGGTACACCCTGACTTGGGGCGGGGAGGGGTTGTGCAATATAATTTTTGCAGAAAAGAATGGCCATCATCTTTTCAAAGTATTCAGTACTCAGGGTTCCTCCTGAAAGATGTAAGTTCCCTTCTGTTGGCTGAAATAATATAAGAAATGGAAAAAGTACACTTTCAAGAATTTCAATTTAGATACTGTTTGTATTTGTGTGTGTGTATGCAAAACAGTTCTTGTGTTTTTCTGTACAAGATTTGGCACAATAACTGCAGATTTTTTGGGGGCTATGGATAACATTTCTGGAGCGGTGTCTCACTTGTTTACGTAGATTACTGACTTGCGGGCATTCTTGGCTCTGTGTCAAATGCCTCTGTGTTAACTGGTTAGAAACGAAACAAGTTAGACCTGGCAGGCTTCAAGTCTCTGTAGGCAATAATAGATGTTATCAGTTATTGATATTGAACATCTTTATGAGCAAGCATTGTGTAAGTTGCTTTAAAATGTCATCCAATTTAGTCTTTGCTATTGATTGATTGATTCAGTGAATTTTTGAGGGGTAACTCCTATGCAAAAAACACTGAGCTAAGGCC